AATTACATCACCGAAGCATGTGTAATCCGATCTCGATGTAGAATCCGACTAAATAAGATTATACAATGCCCCCGATTCGTCTACCGAGTATGTCATAAAAAACCCGAGATCATCATGTTTCTTATAATCAAAGTAGGCAATAAGCGCATTCACATCCCCATCGACGATTTCCTTTGCTTTACCTCTTTGAAGTGCATTGTAGAGGTCTTTATGTGTAAATCCAACATTATGATAGCCCCATGCATGCTGCGTTAAAATAGTTCATTACTTGTGACGTGCCAACACCGACCTCTTTCAATATTGTTGCCTCATCGATATCAGCCTTACTTACAGCTCTATTAGAACGCATAAATGGTGTCATAGCAGGTGTGCACAATGCATGATTATGTTTCTGATCAGAGTTACTTATAACCCACTGGTCGTTTGTATTTGTTGTTGTAACTACGACTCTAGCCTTACATCCTATTCTTGTGACTGGCGTATGAGCACGTTGACGATCAACAGTATTGACTTTTGATACTCGAAACCCTTCTTTGGAACAACAAAATTCTTGTGTCTTCACATTCCCTTCCACGTCAAGCCGTGTTGTTCCCTTACGTGCACTAAACCCATGTTCCCGTGCGAATCCCTTGTAAAAGTACCGAGCTTGATCACGTGAACAGAAGAGCTGACCAACCAATCTGTCAGATTCATCAACATTATGTACTTCATGGCATTCCTCGGTTGGCTTAACATTGTCTACATCAGTATTATCCATGGCAAAAATTTTGTTGTGCAAGTTCAGTGGTCCAGGAGTTGATGGAGATGTAAGCAAAGGTTCATTTTGAGCATGTTTCAGTCGTGCTGCTTTCAATAGGATGTGGTATTGGTAGTGGTAGTTAAAGGGTGGGTACAACATTAAATTCGCAGTACATATTTAGGTATGTACAATAACTACAAGTATCGACCCAAAAAACATCAAAACCAATAATTATAATGTAATAGGTAAATTAACAATGTAACAAGTATCGACCCAAATTAATATTATTTTATAAAATATCAAAACAATCAAATAATTTTTTGTGTAAATGAAATTATTAAATTAATATTGTAGGTGGAAAACATGAAACACTATTAAAAAAAAATTGAAACATAAATTACATAACTTTAAAAAAGTATCGATCATTTTTATAAAAAGTATGGACACTTTGAATATAATAGGTGAAAATATGATGTAATAGGTAGCGCTTATATAATGTAATAGGTAGCGTTTATATAATGTAATAGGTAGTGCTTATATTGTAAAGTATCTATCCTTTTATAAAGTGTCCATACTTTTTTCACTGTGGAAAACATTAATTTAAGGTTATCTTTTGAGTGAGTTTTAAGATATTAATTTAGTAATTATAGGCGTCTAATGATTTATTTTTTACGTTACGGTATATATTATTATTAAATTAAAAACAATAAACATATATATTACATATTTATTATTATCTTTGGTTAATATTGTTAAATTTAAAATCTAAATAATATTTTATAAAATATCAAAACAATCAAATAATTTTTTGTGTAAATGAAATTATTAAATTAATATTGTAGGTGGAAAACATGAAACACTATTAAAAAAATTGAAACATAAATTACATAACTTTAAAAAAAGTATCGATCATTTTTATAAAAAGTATGGACACTTTCAATATAATAGGTAAAAATATGATGTAATAGGTAGCGCTTATATAATGTAATAGGTAGCGTTTATATAATGTAATAGGTAGTGCTTATATTGTAAAGTATTTATCCTTTTTATAAAAGTGTCCATACTTTCTTCACTATGGAAAACATTAATTTAAGGTTATCTTTTGAGTGAGTTTTAAGATATTAATTTAGTAATTATAGGCGTCTAATGATTTATTTTTTACGTTACGATATATATTATTATTAAATTAAAAACAGTAAACATATATATTACATATTTATTATTATATTTGGTTAATATTGTTAAATTTAAATTCTAAATATTATTTTATAAAATATCAAAACAATCAAATAATTTTTTGTGGAAATGAAATTATTAAATTAATATTGTAGGTGGAAAACATGAAACACTATTAAAAAAATTGAAACATAAATTACATAACTTTAAAAAAAGTATCGATCCTTTTTATAAAAAGTATGGACACTTTCAATATAATAGGTAAAAATATGACATAATAGGTAGCGCTTATATAATGTAATAGGTAGCGTTTATATAATGTAATAGGTAGTGCTTATATTGTAAAATATCTATCCTTTTTATAAAAGTGTTTATACTTATTTAACTGTGGAAAACATTAATTTAAGGTTATCTTTTGAGTGAGTTTTAAGATATCAATTTAGTAATTATATGTATCTAATGATTTATTTTTTATGTTACGGTATATATTATCATTAAATTAAAAACAATAAACATATATAATATTTATTATTATATTTGGTTAATATTGTTAAATTTAAATTCTAAATATTATTTTATAAAATATCAAAACAATCAAATAATTTTTTGTGCAAATGAAATTATTAAATTAATATTGTAGGTAGAAAACATGAAACACTATTAAAAAATTAAAACATAAATTACATAACTTTAAAAAAAGTATCGATCCTTTTTATAAAAAAGTATGGACACTTTCAACATATTATAATGTAATAGGTAAATTTGCAATGTTATCGGTATAAATATATCGGTTTACTTATAAAATAGGTCAATATAAGCGCTACCTATTACATTATATAAGCGCTACCTAATATGTTATTGTACTTTATAATATTTTCGGTTAAATAATATAACATAACCGGTCTAAATTTTAACCGATCACTTGTTTAACCGATCACACCATATATTAACCGTTTTTTAGGCGCCGCACCGCAAAACTACCCAATATTCCAAACTTGACAAAGACATTACTTCTGTTCATTTCTCTTCAGTTTTTTTATTGTGTTTTTGTCGTCTAATTTCATCAATAACTTTTGAGGGTGAAGTAGGAGCCTAAAACTGAGGAATTTGCTTATAGGGTTGAGCCCATGATGATTTAAATCAGCGTGGAATTACATATTTTACTTTTACAACACACATAATTCTCTCTCTTTTATTATATATTCTTTACATATATATATTGTTATTTCATCATGTTATCGGTACGATTTTACTCATAAATAAAGATATCAGAGGAAATTAAAAGTGGTACACACTTATAGTTGATCTTTTTCTTTTTTATGAAGATTAGAAAAAGGGATACGATCCATTTGCTTCCATGGAAAGTGCTTAACAAAAGGGAGATAGCTTCATAAAGAAAATACTAAATTTGAGATATTGATGTAAAATTTTAGGCTTCTACTTTATTTTATAAATGAAGACATACTTTTATTAATTCACTTAATATTTTAAGATTTTGTTGTATTAGTTTGATAGATAAAATTAATAAAACTATTTTTATCATTAACTCTATCTATCGAATTAATAGAATAAAATCTTAAAGTATTAAGTAAATTAATAGAAATATGTATTTATTTAACCAACAATGAAGAAATCAAACTGTCAATAATAGAGAAAAGTAATGTTAAAAGTATAGAATGTTATTAGAAAAGCAGGATGAACGTAGGAAGAAATTAAAATAATTTAAGTTTGTTATTAGGTTATTAAGTTGGGTATAATCCTTATACTTGTAACGGGCCAGTATATATATATATTTAATAATAATGGAAGCTAAAAGCTTAACTAGACATGTCTAATTTTACAATAGGGAGGCCCTTCAACGTCTCGACGCAGGAGAGGTTGAATGTAAGCCAGGACTGACGTCAGTTGAAGCATGTCGAAAACAGTTGGGGGAGCTTTCTTTGCCAAAGCATCAACAGGGGAGTTTGCCTCTCTGTGAATCCAAATAAAGTCAAGATTCCAATGTCGTTGATGTAACCGGGAGATTGCGACAACAAGAGGGTGAGAGCTGGAAGAAGCAGCAGGGTCTTTGATAGCCGATATAGCATGCAAACAATCGGATTGAACTTGTACAAACTTGAAACCAAGTTGCCAGGCAAGGCAAAGGCCATCATGAATTGTCCAAAATTCAGTTTGGAGAGCAGACGATCGCACGAGTGAAGCCACATATCCAATTACCAGCATCGTCACGCAAGGGGCCGCATTTGGATGCACTATTGACCTATTGATCCATTTTTATTAGTAAAATAGGTAAACTACATGTTTAGTATCTCAATTATCACTTTTATTTTGTTTTAGTCATTTACTTTTTAGTGTTTTTTTTTAAATCATAAGTAATGTTATGAAAAAATAAAAAAGAATCCATCAAGTGACCTCAGCGATAGGGACGAAGCTATATCTAGTCCCGAGAGGGCTATTGAATCCCTCATTTCTTATTGAACAAATTAATGGGTAAATCTTAAATTAAAGTTCTTAATTTTAATTTATTTTGATTTTATTCCTCTTATTTTCTATAGTAATTATATTTTCTCCCCTCGTTATTTATAGTTAATTATAGTTCAATGATAAAAGAAAATTTAATTATTCCTACAGATTTTGAGCTTAAATAGCTAGAGTATATGCATTGTTAATAGATTATTATTTTTAAATAGATATTATATTGTAATAATAATAATAAAAAAGTTTGGAATACTTTGGTTTTATGTTTTCTTCTTAGATTCATGTGTTTGCGTTTCTTTATGATCATTAATCGACCGTGTACTATCACTGAACTTCACCTTATTTTTTTCACGAGATGGAGACATTTCCTTAGTGGATTTTGCCCACGCCCGACACTTTCTCTTTTACCCCATCCTAAAAGCCGGTCATTCAGCCAAATCTAAACAATCGTACATCCATACGTATATAGAATGTGATTTTCTCTCCTTTTGTGAAGATCTTGTCAAATTTTTAAGGGGATATTTTCATGATTTGGATGCTTTCTTTTAAGTGAAAGCCATCGTTTTCTTTTTACACATGCAAACAAGATAACGATCATCGTAAAGATATGCAGCAGCAGCAGCCCCCACTAGATCATCGGAGGTTAAAGCCGTTTACGGCCGCCGGAGATAATAACCAACAGCAGCAGCCTCAAAAGTGTCCTCGTTGTGACTCCGCTAACACAAAGTTTTGTTACTACAACAATTACAGTCTCTCCCAGCCTCGTTATTTCTGCAAGAGTTGCAGGAGATACTGGACTCATGGTGGAACCCTAAGGAACGTGCCCGTTGGCGGTGGTTGCAGGAAAGGAAAACGCTCGAAGGGTTCTTCCTCCGGTGAAAATCCAAGGTCGTCTCAGCCGCAGATACCACCACCACCACAAGCGCCGGCAGCTCCATCATCTCGTATTTCTTCAGTGGGATCATTGTATCATGGTGGTCGGTTCTTGTCATCTTCATCGGCAATCCAAGCAACGAACCAACAGCAACCTTTTAATCAAAGAATCGGTGGTTGGTCTTCAAATTTGGGACTTTTGCAGATTCAGCAACAGCATCAAGAGATTCAGCAAACCCAGTTCTTACAAATGGGTACTAATGGAGATCAAAATGCTATAAACATGTACCCATTGGATCATCAAGAGGGAAATTATTGGCATCAAAGTTTCATCAACAATACTAACCCTACAATCTCAGAAGCAGATTTATGGAGTATCAACAACATTAGCACCAGCAAGAACACAGATGGTTCTTTGAATCCAAGTCAATGGTCTGACTCTGATCTTCCAGGTTATGGTCCTCCATAGTGTTTATTTCCCTAAAAGGAAACCTCTTTTTGCCTTTTTGTATAAAAAGAAGCCATTGAAGCTCTCATTTAAGATCCAATATTGCAGAAATTCATCGTCTATTTAGCTTATGTTGCTATATCATATGCTCAGTTTGAATCTGGTTCAATTTGAGTGTAGGCAATGGGTTTGGTTCACATCAGTTTTAACAATTTCAATTGCCGACCTTCGCCATCCCATCACTTTATCCATCCCTTATAGGTAAATTCAAGCACTCAAGGACAACAAATATGACTTCTTTTCCTGCAAACGTTGATGGTAATGAACTTTGAGTTGCTTGAAATGTTTTTTTAATAAACCTGACGTGTTAATTAAGGTAATATGACAGATTTTCAAAAGATATAGTATTTTGTATGATACTTATTGATATGACAGATTTTTTGGATAATCTTTTTTCACTCTAATGCCATATAGGTTAAAAATAAAAGAAATAAAAATAATGAATATTTAAAAAAAATTGTATGAATTTTATTAAAAAATTTAATAGGTTTTGATAAATAATATTGTTTCTATATTATTTTAATAAATAATATTATAATAGGTATCATTCCTTAAATTAACCCAATATTTGTAATACCCCAATTTAAGGGCTAAATTTAAGAAATTATAAAGTGGTGGATTTAATTGATATTTTGAAAGAAATGGTGGATTAAATTATAAGATTTTAATATTGACGGACCGTTTTAAGAAGTGTAGCAAATTCAGTGGCTAAACTTATGATTTGACCTTTTTTTAGGAGTTAATATAACCCCATTTCCCGTGCATTTTGCAGAAAATGTTTATATTTCCTCTCCCGGTCAACCAACTTTGATCTCTGATCTACTCGCCGTCCGACCTCCAATCGACGAACTGAAAATGCCATCGTGTTCGTTGTCGACCGAGGAACAAAAAACCCCTCAAACCTTTCGTCGTGAATCGTCGCCGTTCGTCGTTAATTTCAGTCGGAAGTATCATCGGTAATAACTTGATTTTAATTAGTTTTTCGTCGATTCACGACGATCCGAGCATATGTTTACGGCACCTCCCGCACCATCGTATTCCTTGCATCGTTCCGAGTCTGCCGGTGTCATCCTTGGTCTCCGTCGACGGCGGTGCGTGTGGAGGTGAAGCAGTCAAAGTTTCCGATTCGTTGAAATCGAGCTTTCCGCCGTTCAAAAATTTGAACCGAGCTTCGTAAGTATCTCGAAATCGCTTAAAATAATTTTTAGGAATTTATTCGGGAATTTTTCGATATCAGGGCACTGTTCACGTGCCCCCACACGCTGCCACTACGCGTGGGGAAGTCAAAAGTGATCGGCTTGACTGGTTTTTGAACTATTTTGACCGGTTTATCCGGTCATAACCCGACCCGACCCGTTGACCCGACCCGTTGACCGTTAACCGGCATTGACCACTGTTGACCAAAACTTTGACCGGCTTTGACAAGGCATTAAAAGACCTTTGACTTTGACCCAGTATACCTATCCTGACATTCTTCGACGTTCCAAATCCGATTCCGCAGTCCGTTTTTCAAAATTCGAACCTGAAGGCCTCAAAATTTCCGGTCAAACCCGTTGACTTTGATTTTGACCGAAAATTCCAAATTTCTGAAAAGTTATATTTTATGATTTCGACGTCCTGAATTCGAATCCGAAGTCCATTTTTCTAAATTCAAACCCGGTAAGCTATTTTTCACTGATTTATTACCCGATTCGATCCGTTTATCGCAATTAAGCTCCGTTTCTGATATAATTTATGTTGATATATATCGGAGTAATTATTGAAAGTTGAATTGAAGATCAAAGGCATTCGAATGGAATTTTATGGTCGATCAGTATTGCACGGAAATCGAGATAATACTTTACTACCTCTTTGTGCTTTATGGAATATATTAATATTGGTAAATGCATGAATGAGATAATGTTGGTCACTTTTGTGGAGTTGATTAATTTATACACTCAATATGAATGTGGTAGAAATTCAGTATCTGAATACGGATCGAATGATTAATATAAGAGATTGAAGGGTTGTTAGAATTAAATTTCAAGTTCTGTGTTTGGTAGTAAAGAAATTAACCTGGATCTGTATTTTATAATTTATTTCATCAAAGGTAATATGTTAAAGGTACTTGGATGTGAAATTATGAGAATAATCTGGTAGGGTAAAATTACGAAAATACCCTAATGTTGTAAGATGACAAGAATTATCCCTGTAAGTTGGTTAATAACTCTGAAAAGACATATTGATCCGGTAAAAATTATTGATGTGCATAAGAAATGCTAGTTTTGCTTAGGAAATGCGGATAACCAGTTTTTAGTCTTATGAGGATTTGTGAAGGATACTAGAAGTCTGTTAAGGGAATCATTTCAAGATAAGAGAATGTTCGGGAAATCAATTGATCATAGGATCTCTAAATCATAATTATTTTCGTTAAGAGATAATATCGAAATTATATGGTTAAGAAATTACGGAAATGCCCTTAAGAGGTAGAATAGTTTGAGTTGACTCTGAATGAGAAAATACTTAGAGGATTCGTACTTAACTCGATTAAGTACGGATTTAATTGTTAAGATCCTGACTTAGTGCAGGAAAATTCTTGATATTTCGTTTGTAAAATCTGAGAAGGCACTTGACCCAGAAATATCCGAGTTATGAGTAAATACCTGAAGAAGAATTTGTCGGGGGTGTTTTGTTGTCACAATTGTTCGAAATGACTGAAATAAAAGATAAGATTGAAATTAATATAGTAAGATCAGACGGAAGGAAAGGATTAAAGTGCACTGAATCAATAAAATGACCAGAAATACCCTTGTAATGGAAATAACCCAAGAATATCACCAAGCTCAGAAATGATTGGATATCCTTGAGCTCTGTAATGATTAGAATAAACTGAATACCAAAATGACCAAAACACCCTTATGGCCTATACTAAGGAAATGTCTTGGGTTAATTAAGGAACCCAAATAAACATGGATGTGGTACTGCTCTTAAAAGTTACATATCACATATCAAGACGAGCAACCAATGCTAGTGTTATATCAGTACCTGAACGACATAGATGTCACTTGAATGCGTGTTTGTATTCTCCAGTTTGGCTCGATGATAATTTTGGAAGTATTCAGCTAAACTCAACTCTAGATCGCATTCAACAGTAAGAATTTGATATTTGTTAGACAAATCTACCACGAAGACCAAATTGAATTGAACGAAAGTACAGTATGTATCCAAAATTCAGAAACGTCTGGATTACCCTGAAAACCCCCGAATATTACGGGAATTGACATGACTGCTAAATGAATTAGGTAACCTCAATGACTGAGGATTTAGTAAGTGATTTGGATAAGTCTGAAAACTCTGATGAGTTTACATAGTGTGCAATTACGATGGTTTATGATTAAAATAATCAAGTACGTCAGCATTACATGATATTGTGGAAGCGTAGAAATGAAATGAAGACATTGGAAGATCTATTCAGCGATGATTTTGAAAATAACCGATGGACAAGAATTTATGGTATTTAAGAGTAAATACCATGGAAGAACAATGAATTGATTAATCGACAAGCATTAGTTTTGGGAGCTATTCATCTAAGAGTTGTTTGATAATCCGATCAATCGACATAGATTGTAAATGTCCTGAACCTTAATTTCTTCCTTACCAGCTCAAGTCATATTATGAATAATTAATGATTTTGTCAGTTATTGAACTCTTCCAACAGTGATTCTGAATTCCGATATTCTATCGGTATACTGAAGATCTGTGTTCCTCTACCTGTTAAGATTATCCAGTACCTCTGAATAATTTCTGTAAACTCTGGTGTGTTCCCTAATCACCTGGATATTTTACCTGATTTTCGATTTGATTTCTATTATAATACCTGACCCGGATTCTGATCGGATACTTGACCTGGATTTTGATTGAATACTTGACCTGGATTATGTTATGATTTTTGATATATCCGTTTACAGACGGAACATGTTTTACTTGGGGGGTAATGTTAGAGGAAGTATACCTGGAGGCTCCTCGGCTTTGTGCTCAGGGCCTTACTTACCGGCTCCTCGGCTGTGTGCTCAGGGCCTACTGGACTTGACGGTGGGTGTATGGTTCTGGGGAACCTACACATTTTGGACTTGACGGATGGGGGTATTTATATATATATATATATATATATATATATATATATATATATATATATATATATATATATATATATATATGTTTTAAAAAGATCTGAAAAGCTATATGATTTTTGGGAACACACTAGAAAACCTGTTATGATTTCCTGTACCTAGACATCCGAAATATTTCCATCTGTAATGAATACTATTTGTTACTACATGCGATATCAATGGACCCCAGCTCAACATAAAGATCTGTAAATATCTGAACCAATAAGGAAAATATGTTTATCTGTATCTGCATATTTTTCAGCATCATCTGGTAGTTCTGTATTACTGAGTTTTCCGAAGCTCACTCTATTACTCACTTTTTCAGGTTAAAAGAATTGTATCAGTGCATCTGTCGACTTCAGTAAGGGAGTTTTTCCGGCGTTGTTGCAGAGTATGATACATGTGATTAGGGGGCATATAATTATATTTTGATTTATATACAAGTCTGGAAATCTGTTGTATTTTTAAATAGTGACAACTGATTTTATAAGTTACACGTTTCAATAAAAGTTTTGAATTGTCCGCTATTTTTACAGTAGGTCGCTCCGGTGGCCCAAATGTAACACCCCGGATCGGATCTGGTTACCCTTATCGGTCTGTATGGGTTAGATTTACTGGTATCAGAGCTTTAGTTTGAGTCAAAATTTTTCAAGATAGACCGGCCGGTCGAATGTCAAAAATATGTCTGATCAGTACATGCCCCTAGACTACAATCGTACCTCTCTGAGCCGGAACTCTAGGGTTGAGTCCCTATCTGTAACGAGTAAACCGAAGTTTCTATCCGTTAAGGCTATACTTGTACAAAAAGGAATA